CMTGAATTCATTTTTTTTTCTATAATGGTCGGCTGTGAAAATGAACGGCATCTATGAATATTGGCATGCCATGGTGTTTTTCGAAAACGTTTCGACTTTTTCCATCTTATTCCTTTTTGTTTTGGTAATAAAAGTTTTGTTTTTCGCTTCGACTTTTAAATTTAGTCTTTCGACAACAATTTCTCGTCCGCTCCTGATTAGCTCAAGATACTTTAGTCACATTGTCTGTATTATGAAAAATGATTGGCACTCTCGTGGCGATTTTTAAAAGATCATAGCAGGTTATGTTTTGGTGAGCCTAATAAATTCTTTGCCTTTAGGTATTAAATTCTGACCTACTTGTTTTTATCACAGTTTGACACTTCTTCAAAGCGAAAACATACCTCAGCTGAAAGTAGGTATGCGTTTTTATAAAATTTCATACATCAAGGTAAAATTTTTAAAGCGGAAGATCCACTTAGTCAAGAGGATATAGATTGTACATTATTTTGGAAAGAAAATAACTTGTTTGAAACAGAGCGCATAAATGGCAGCTATTACTGACCATCTGCCTCTGCTCTCAGTTGTGGAGTGCGCTTTTCTTAAATAAAACGTTTCCTGCATATACCCTTTTCTAAAATGTGTCTCAATATAAATATAACTCAATTAAAGGGTTTTAAAGAGGAAAATCTAACAGTATTGGGAAACTCGACAATTTTCAAACCTGTACACTTTTCCCAAAAGGTTTTTTTTTTCCTTCTGGTAAACTACTGATCGGCAATGGGCTTTCATTTCAGGGAGAAAGTAAAATGGAATAAAATATTTTTACGTTTTCGTTTACGGTTAGATCAAAATTCAAATTTGTTTGACATGTCAATATAAGCAAAGAATATGGACGCAGAGCCACAGTCTTTGAAAGCAAGACTTTCCTGTCACAGACCAGAAAACATTAGTTTTCATATTCGAACATTTTATAGATTTGGTAATAATGTGAAGATGGTTAATTACTAGTTCAGTAGACAAGAAAGAGTCGACAAACTATGCATCTTATTACTGTTACGCAATTCTAATTTATTACTTGTAAATTGCCACAAAAAAGGGGAAGGGTACAACAAAAAGCGTCTAATACACAGAACGTTTAAAATTTGCAAGGGATCAATTTTTTCATTTGAGTTATTTGTGCGTCCATAATGAGAAAACTAGGTCTCTCATGTAGATGCAAATTTATTGAGACTTTCGTTCGCTTGTTTACATAAAATATTTCCTTCAGTTTCGTTCTATGATATTTTGCGAGGATCATTCTCGTTTACTTCAACTCAGACCTCATGTACGTGGAGTCAGAAAAATCGACCATAGTGAGCAAATCCTTCTCAATTAGAAGTAAATTTGCTTCTGAGCACTCGTATATAAAATGGATTTTCTGATAGTCTGCCTTTATTTTTTCTGGTCAGACCTATTTTCTTTTGATATTTTGCGTGGATCGTTTATTTACTTCAACTCAGACCTGATGTACGTAGAGTCAGAAAAATCGACCATAGTGAGTAAAACCCAGCATATAGAAACCTTCTCAATGAGGGGGAAGTTTTATTCTGAGCACTCATACATGATGGATACTACTCTGATATTCTGCCTTCATCTTGCTTTTGTGGTCAGAGCTGTTTTCCCCCAAAACTCACTACCTACAGAGTAAAGAAATTAAACTTTATGGAAAGCTTAGATAAAACTGATAATAGAATAAAGGGTAACTTCTCCAATACAAAGAAGATATACTCTCAAGCTTAGAAATATCAAATCATAGTTATTCGTAATCCACATCACTTTTTTCAATCCTACACCATCTTTGTATTTATTCCTTCTTTGTTGATTGTTTTAGTTATTACGATCTTCTCATGTCTATATTTGGTGGCTTGCTTTCATTTTGATAGCTCTATTTGGCACGGCAAAGGAATCCAAATAATGCGACACTCGAGCAGTCCTTTAAAAGAACATCAATTTACTTTATTTTGAATTTCTTGGAAAAAAAATACTTAAAAAAACCAGTATTTGTATCAGGCTAAGCAAGTTGAACTTCCATGCTAAAACTACCACTCAAAATCTATTCATTTATTTCATCTACAGAGCATGGCATTAACGATGGTATTGGGTTTTACCATAGCATATGCTATAGTTATGATCATGGCCTTAGTTGGAAACTTGTTACTGATATACATTGTCTGGAAGAAGCCCGAAACGCGAGGCCTGACAAGTTTCTTGTTTGTCAATATGGCGGTAGCTGATCTACTGGTTACGGTATTTCAGATGCCCATTTCCATGGCTCACTTTTACTCCAATGTAATGTCTGGAGTGGCCGGTGACCTGTTCTGTAAATTTTTTCATTATCTTATGCAAGTGTCGCTGACAGCCTCCATTCTCAGTCTGGTGGTGATGGCATTTGATCGATATGTCGCTGTTATACAACCTTTGAGGCGAAAAATGTGGTTCAGAAGAGCCAAGATCATTGTACCAGTCATTTGGATCGCATCCTGGACTTTCATGGCCGTCACCTTAACCTCTTACGAGGTTAATCATGCAAAGTGCCATTATACCGAGAAGCATATTCCAAGAGTTGTGCTTTGGACCTACTTGCTTGTCATCAACTACGTCCTACCTCTCACTATCATAACCGCCCTGTATAGCAAAGTAGCGCGAAAAATATGGTTCCACGAAATTCCTGGTCAGAAGGAGATTTCCCGAAACTTGGTAGCCGTTCAGATTCCCAAAAGAACAGTGCTCCGAACACTCATCCTCATTGTGGTAGTTTTTGCGGTCTGTTGGTTGCCCCTGCAAGTGCTGCAAATGGACTTCGTGGTGAAGGCAAAAATAACATGGCATCCCGCAGCCGTTTACTTTTCCTCTTGGCTCAGTCAGGCTAACAGCGCCATTAATCCTTGGCTCTACATCGTTCTTAATGGTAAAATGAATAGTGCTTTTCGCAGAATGATCCGAGGCCATAGAGTAAGGAGTAGGGGATTTAGCAAGAAAAGCCAAGAAACCGCGGTCGTGAACTCACTCAGAAATGCCATTATTGAAGACACTGTAGTCTAAGAGATCATGGTTGCAGACTACAACAACAGAAGATTAGGTTTAGCCTTAGGATCTATGCAGGTTTGTACGAATGCGTTTCCTCCAAGTGAATGCATACCACGAAGAAGAAATTGCTTAGAAACCAGTTAAGTCATTAAATGAGTCTCGTGTACAAGAAAATTTAAGATCCACACCTGTTAGTCACTGAGCCCTTGACGTTCAGCCATAGGATGGCAGGTTACATGAATTGAATGTTTCCCCGAAATAAAAAGCTGTCACCGAGACAAAACACAAATAAACCATTAGAATATGATACGGTCATGAGCAGGCCATTTTGTGAACACCACACAATCATTTGTCTTAAAAGTCCACTTTTCTTTTAAAGAAAACTGCAAAACAGCCTTCACGCTCAAAAATCGAAACGAGACGAAATTCTTTGTTTCACCATGCACTTATGTAGATGTAAAAGACAAATTCTTGCAAATAGCGATTGATATTTAGCCTCTAAAAGGTCACTGCGTCCTTACTGTATTCCTGGAAAGACAAATCCGAATTTGTAGAAAAATTGTAGCAGTTATAACTGTAGATGACCACTCTTTACTCTTCGCAGTTTTCTTATTATAGCCACGACTGTTGTTTACCAATTTCAAGCCACGTGACCAATATGACACACGAAGCTTAAAAAGTCCATAGGTGGTTTGCACGTTACGTCATGGCCGCCATGTTGGTGGACGTAAACAATGGATATCTCATTAGCTTCTTTTCTTCGTCCACCAGCATTTGTTCCTTTCACCATTGTTACTTGTGTCTCTAGAGATTGGTTGCAAACCACCTATTGCAATGATCCCACTCCCGTAAATTTTTATTCGAATGTCCCCCCAGCAACTGTTGCGCTTCACTGGTCCACCCCCAAATCTTTGCAAGCTCATTCATGTCTCGACATATGCACGCTGAGCTTAAATAGAGATGATCCACTTCTTAAACTCCTATGAAATTTTTGTTTTCGGCTGCCCCCCGAGCAACTCTTACGCTTCGCTTCGCTCGATTAATACATAATTACATGATTTTTCTCGTGCAATTTGGAATAAATAAACACTTGTAAATTTGGAATAAATAAGCACTTGCAACTTTTTTCAAAGACCACAAACTGCACTCGCCCTACGGGTTCATGTAATTTTGTTAGTCTTTGAAAAAATTTACTCGTGCTTACGTATTCCAAATTGCACTCGAAATCATGTGATTACCTATACAAATTCTTTGATTTTTCGCTTAAGCCAAACACTGATTTTTACATCTCGAAAAATCCAGCACAGACAGGCTTGGTTGGAATACTTTATGACGAATGTAAGTTGTTTGAAATGCATCATCAATACGGTTTGTCGCTCAAATTAAAATTCACTGTCATATTAATGCATGGGATTGATTTGAAAAATTATTTTTGATTACATGGGCATGCACTGATGAATTTGAAGCATGGATTGAAAGAAGTCATAGCTCTCGAGTTGGATTGTTACACATCCATAGCGTTTGTGAAATGGATTAGAATACATTATAACATTTGTAGCTAGGAAGGCTTGTGCTTGCGTTTATAGTCGGTTACCAAAAGACATTGGTTGGTGGATAGATCGCAATTAAAAAAGGGGCTTTAGTGTCTGTAGTTTTTCTCTGAAAAGACAACTAAAAGCATTTCAGTAAGCAAACTTGGTGTTTTCGGTCTTTTCGTCCAAAAGTATTTTCAGCTAATAATTTGGATATATCAACAAAGTTGAAATGGTAAATTGGCCACCGTAATGATTACAAAAGCTGGCGTTTCGAGCGTTAGCCCTTCGTCGGAGCGAATAGAGGAACTGTGGGTTGTGTGTGCTTTTAAAGGCACAAAATGGAGCTACGTTATTGGTGGGAACATGGCAACGAGTTTTGTAAGAGCTACAAGTTGGTGTGCCTACATTTTGATGGGGGAATACGTTCCCATTTTTCCCATTGGGTTTTTTGAGTCTTCGTATCAGGCGGCGGCACAGAAACGTTTTAGCCCGAGAGGTGATGACTAGTTGTTTACTTATTCTGTGTAACTTTGTCAGATGGCATTAAATACTTGGGCTCCTAAGTTCAAAGTACACACCCATTCTTGTGTATGAGTCCTGAATTAAAAAAGGAAAAAGCATTATAATCAGCAGACTCACCTTCATGGCAAATTCATGCACTCTGTCACCTACCCATACTGGATGAGTGTGACCATCAACAAGGCCTAAAATAAATGGCAACAAGTTGAAAAATAAATCATACTGTATGGCTGTGGATTTACGCTCACCACAATTAGCAAAAGCCCCTTTTAAACACACAAGTCAAATGTCAGCATAATTTATATGCCCAACATTATAATGGCTACATCCTTCAATGAGTAGCTCTAAAGCAAAAGACATATTTAATAAAATTACTTACTTTACTTTACTTTTGAAAAAGAAAGCTTTTTCTAAAGTTCAGGGTTATTAATTTAGTTATTGATATATTATAAATATAATTTTATTCTGAAATTTCATTAATAAGGCACTTCACATTTTTTTTTAATAAGAATTAGGGAGGGGCCGATAATGACACCAAATATTGGACACCAATGATACCGAAGTCAGATCAGAAATATTGACACTAGCAAAAAGTATTGGTGGTTTTGATAGTACTGCACATGACCTGCTCACACTTTGTCTCACATCAGCGACCAACTTCTGACAAGGAGTTGAAAAGACTTTGGGGTTGAGATTGGACAATGAGCACCACTGTACCAGTCTAAGTAGTGACGCTTGGGCGCAGCAAGAGTGAACTCATTGACGACCATGAGTTTCTACTTAAGTATGTCCTTAATCCAGTTTTAGACGTTTGACTGTCTCATTAACACTTCTATAGCATGTTCTATAGAGTACTGAACACTGCATAACTTTAAAAATGCAAGATAACTCTATATTTCGACAATCAAATCACTTGACTTACCATTCGACTCAATGACGTCACAATATTGGTATCGATATCAATATCGAAGAAAAACCAAAGTGTCATACTCAGTATTGTATCGATTTGAAAAAACTGTAGTGGCACATCCTCACTTAGAACCTATTACATACTGCTTTTATATGGTATATAGTTTTGTTTATATTGTTGTTAATATCAGTATTTATTAGTTATTAATATTGGTTTCTTTTAGTTTTATTTCTGTGGCACCCAGATAAAAATATCCCAATCGATATCTGGGCAAGTGTACCATAATTATAAACCCATACATTAACTATGCATTCAGAGTCTAGTAAACTTTGTTTTTAAAGTTTTGTCGTGAAAGACAAAGAAGTGGAATGCATAATTAATGTAAGGGGTTGTATGGTACTCTCTTCGATATCTGTGCCATACTTTACTTAAATTAGATACTACATATAGGTATAGGTGGCCTTGTTCTTGTGGGATAACTATTGCTACGTTTCTTTCCCTTTAAAAATTTTGCACGGCAACTTAACGCATGCTCTATGTTGGACCGCTGTGTTGTTGGGGAGT